GCCCCTGATGCGGCCTCTGTTCCTGAGTGCGGACCCACACACCCCTCTTTTCTCCCTCAGGTACTCCCTGCTAATGTCCTGCACCCTGCTGCAGTCGTGGACCCAGCTGCTGTCACGAGCCCTCATCCGCTGCTGCTGACACAGCCCCTGCTCCTGACCCAGGCCCACACACCCCAGCAGGCGCATCTGGCGACTCTGTACCTGCCGTGAGGGAAGCACAACATTCATCGCCTCCACACACACTTGTACTCCCTCTCTACTCCCACAGATATTGTGTATCTAGACAGTTGTCTCCAGCGACCGGCTCATCCACGCCATCGCCGTTGTCTCGCATGAGGCACGCACCGCCCTTTCTGCCTCACATGTGCTATGCAACCCTGCAGACAACAAGTCTCCTACACCGCCTGGAGGGAAGGGGGAGTATTGTAGTGGAATTCTCCCCTACAAACGCTGTTTGTCGCTGCCTAGCCGACCCCACCAATTCCCCAGTGTATGCCTCGTGGTCTAGGTCAACCAGCGCCGCCATACACCACGGAGAGGGGGTCAACTGCTAAGCCACGCCTACTCCCGCTATTTAAGACCTGACCTCGTGGTGATCTCCCTCTCTACCTACAGCCGCAGCCAGCAACACCTCCTCCTCCGCCGCTGCCTGGCGGCCTTCGCTCCTCCTCCGCCTGCCTGGTGGTCTCCTCTCCCGCTGGCGAGCATGGCGACCCACAAGCTGTCCTCCTGTGAGCATCCTCACCAACCAGCTCTCTCTACATCACGCTTGTAACCATGCTGCCTTCCCAGCTGCATTGTACATCCAATCTGTGTGTGAGAAGGACCTAGGTGTGTATGTTGACAATGAGCTGAAGTTCTCGGGCCATTGTGAGAAGAAGGTAAATCAGGCAAATAAATTATTGGGTCTTATAAGAAGGTCGTTCAGATATCTAGACGGTCCGTCCCTCGTGACGATCTTCAGGAGTGAAGTGCTTCCCCATCTGGAGTACTGTCACCCCATCTGGTCCCCGAGATATGCTAGGGACTGTCAGTTGGTTGAAAATGTTCAAAGGAGGGCCACCAAGCTGGTGCCTGCACTTCGGCATCTCAGCTACCCTGCGAGATTGGAGCGCCTGAACTTGCCTAGCTTATACTACAGACGGGCAAGGGGGGACCTAGTTGAGGTTTATAAGCATCTCAGGGGGCACTACTCAGTTGAGTGTCCTTACTTGGAGCTGGCGGACGCTCGCCCCACAAGGGGTCACAGCTCAAGATTGAAGAAGCCGCAAGTCCGGAAAACCGTGAGGGCAAACTTTTTCGGAGTGAGGGTTGTAAACTCTTGGAACAATCTACCAGAAAGTGTTGTGACGGCACCGAGTGTGAGCTCTTTCAAGAGAAGACTTGACCAACACTGGAGCGGGTTCAGGTACATTCAGGAGCCGGTGCATGCCCAGTATTTGCCAACAGTGCGTGACAGAGACGTGACCGATCGCCCGGGCGGCTAGCGAGCCGACCTTTTGGTGAAGAATATAAAGGAAAAGAGTCGTGACCGATCGCCCAAGCGGCTAACAAGCCGATCAGTGGCGAAGAGGATAAAAGTAAAAGTAAAAATACAACATGTATATAGAGAGCACATCGCGAGTTTCCTTTCTCCATCCCATCCTGAGTGTGAACCAAACAATCTCATACCCCACAGTACTACTGCTTGGGAAGATATTGGAAGCATAATGTATTGTCAAATGGTAGACCCTGCTGCCATGTGACCAAGTCAAGTCCCAGGTTGCAGGGTCTCAATTGTTTCTCTTACTATTGACAACACAACATACATACTGTAATATACTGTTCCTCACTTTTGATCTTTTTTTCATTCTTGTATTTCTTTATTATTATATTATTTTTACAGTGTTATTATTATTATTAGTATTATCATTACAAATTTATTATTCAATTTCCAATTTTGTATTATAAATTTTATTTACTCTGAATTAATTATTATTATTACATTTTCGCCCCCAGGCCCCGATGTGGGCCTGTGACCTGTGCCTGGGTGAACTAATCCCCGCAAAAAAAAAATAAATAAATAATCTAACCATACCTAACATAATTTAATAAAACTTAACCTGAAATAATCTAGCCAAACCAAACCTAACCAAACCCCTATTTAGCGCTGGAGTGCTTAATCGTCAGGTGAAATAAACGAAGGTTCTTAAGTTTCATGAAGTTTGTCTTGTATGATTTTTATTTTTATTTGTAAATTAATCGACTTGGTGTCATTGCATTTTTCTTTTTAAGATTTTTGTCCGAATTTGCCGGGATTTTTTTTTTCATTAAGAAATCATAATTGTTAGTGATCCAAAATTCGCACAGTAGCATTTATGGAACGTGTGTGTGAAGACATATATTGTCTCTGTAAATACACAAATTATGCTGTGACAATTTCCAAAACACCTGATTTTTTTTTTGGGGGGAGGCGTATAACCTTCAATAAGTTCTGAGGTTCAAAGTTGGCATGGTTATTTTTCAGGTGTACAGTGACACACACACACACACACACACACACACACACACACACACTATAAAAGTCTTTCTTCACACACACACACACAACCCCCCAGGTAGCGTTAGGGTAGTTAATCTGCAGGTGAAATAAGCTATGTGTGTAATTTTCAAATGATTCCATGACTCAAGTCTACAGTAGATACACGATTTGGCGACGTTTGACGCACAGAGAACGGTGATGACAAGTTACCACTGAACAAGATAGTTATGTTAATGAGTGATTTGATATGAAATGCTGTTCTTGCCGCGACTAGTATGTTAACATTAACGAATCTTATGTTAATGTTGCACCAAGAGCCATTATACGAAGTTAAAATATTTATATAAAAAATGTTTACGACAATGTTATCAGGAATGTGTCGGATGGTAGCTAAGGGTGTGAGTACCTGAAGGGTCATGGATTTTATAGTTGTTACATAATAGTGACAGGATGAGTGTGTGTGTGTGGGGGGGGATTCCCGATACAATATATCTGTTTATGGCAAGGCGTAGTAAGTTCCCTAATAAGTCAAGTGCCAGGCCTGTATGGAGGAGGAGGAGGGAGGGGGGGTGACGGCTGGGGACTGTGCTGTGGTAGGATAGGCACGGTGGGGGTGGAGGGAGGGGGTGTGACGGCTGGGGACTGTGCTGTGGTAGGATAGGCTTGTGGAACCCCTCAAAATCCTGTCCTGTACATGTTTAGAACAAAAGGTCACCTACGACTGGAAGATGGCTTATGCTAGTCCTATATTCAAGGGTGATCGTCACTCCAAATAATTAGACCAGTGAGCCTGACCAGCAGTGTAAAGTACATTACTAGAGAGCAACGTAAGAGATGCCATGATGGAACATCTATGAAAAAACCTTGTAAGGACTGCCAACACTATGCTGGGACGATCCTGCTTAACAATTACTCAAGTTATTAGATGTTTGGACATTCTAGAACAAGGAAAAAATACCAACAATATAAACTTAGATTTTGCCAAAGTTTTCGACAGTGTACCACATGAAAAGCCGAGACTCAAACTGGAAGGGTAGGGTTTAGTGTCCTAGCATGGATCCAAGATTTAATACACAACTGCAGTGTGTGGTGATAAATGGTATGAAATCATCCCTTATACCCAGGACAAGTGGGGTACCACATGGCAGTGTATTGGACCAGTATGGCTTTCCTAAAGGACATGCATAAAGCTATATTTTCCATACAAATGTTTGCACAAGATGCCAAGTTATTTAGGGAAATTAAGAACCAAGCAGACTGAAGAGCTGCAGAAAGAAGTTTTAAGAATTGTCCAGGAAACAGCTGCTAAAATTCAGTTACAAGTAAGGAGACATCACATATCCCAACAAGACAGACTGCATTAACCTAGACTGATTGCAAATAGAACCTAGTGATGCAAATCAACAATGAACAAGTTATCTGGCCATGGAGATGGCGAATGGGGCAACAAAACTAGGTCTAGCAAGGTTTATCTGGATGGTCCATCACTACCTACAAGATCAAGGTGCTTCCCCAGAGGAATGCAGGATGATCAAATTGAAAAATGTCCAGAGGGCCACCATTCTTGTGCCTGATTTACAGAACCAATTATCCAGAGATTGGAGTGCCTGCAACTACCTAGCTTATATTGGACAGGAGACCTAAGCAAAGTAAACAAACATCTCCATGAGCACTACATCAAACGTACATACCCACCCAAGCCAATCAGTGGCAAATGATAAGATTAAAAGGTCTGTAGCCGTCCATGTCAATATACTGTACAGGAAATCCATAAATTCCCAAACATTTACCATGTGTCAATGGTTTATGATATTGAAATGCAGCAAAAACTAATGTAAACTTCCAAGTACAGGTAGTCCCCAACTTACAACCACAGCAGTTGCACTTTTTTTTTCAAAAGACTGGCACATTTTCTATATAGAAACATTTCCAGTTAATGTAGTCTCCATGTATAATTAGAAAATACTACCCCCCCCCAATGTGCATTCAGCCTACTACATTAAAGGCAAGTGCTCCGTCACACTATCCATTCCTCAAATACTTTTACTGTGCTGCATTTCATTGCAGATTTTTTTATTTATGTAGTTTTTTTTTATCTGTCAGACTTATGACCATTCCGACTTACGACCTGGATTTGGGTCCCTAACCCCGTCGTGAGCACCTGTATAGCATAAATACTGTAGAATATTTCCTATAGTTGCAGCCTGGTTAAATTATTTAACCAGCAAGTACAAGCTCCACCTGTTTATAGGAAGGCATGGTGGATATTGCTCAAATGATTTTGGTGCACATTGTTTGTCCAATTTTATGCTTGTGCACAGCAGCCTTAGCAGCCCAACAGCACTATGCATTGCCATCTCAAGCCATTGTCAGTTTCCTGAAAGTGCAGGTTTCACCTCCCAGGTCATTCAATAGTCTACAGTTGTAGAGAAACCACGATTACATTAACCATTGGAGAAGGTATTGTTAAATCTAAAAATTGGATATCCTCCTTTATTAAAGTCAAGCTTATATACAATAAATAACATTCTAAATAACTATTTTATACATTGTTCCACTGCAGCCCACAATGTTTAGAAAAGTAAACAAGGATAACATTCGAGTTGAAGGTCCATGTTAATCTTCATCCAGGGACATGGGTGGGGTGGGCTACAGTAAGTTCTTTTCATTTCCTGAAATTTTAAAATGCATTAATTTTCACACTTTGGAATTGCAGTTTAGATTAATATACAAGACACTTAAACTATTCCATTCTACTGGAAATATAAGCCCCTGCGGAACTTTTCAAGCCTGCAATTTTTTTTTTACACCTTTTAAACAAACTATTCTAAAAACAATTAATGCTCCAAGAAATTATCCATGCCAACAAACTTTCTGCCACATGTCAAAAAGTAAAAATTCTAATCCATGGACTTCAGGCTCAAAGCCAGGCACTGGAAGCCCAAGGGCAATTCGGCACCATTACACCCTTAACTACAACCAAATGTAATTATACTGCATAGCAGAAAACCTCAAGAAATGCCTGAACTACTTACTTAACAATATTCATCTTTTACTTTCTTGAGGTACGGCGTCCTGCAGGACCACTGTTTAAGCTTGCACTCGCTAGAGTAGACTTTGCCATCTGAACCACACACTGGCATGTGGATGGGAGGGCAATGTGTGGGACACTCTGCAAGAAGAAATGCAACTACAGAAAAACTTGCTGGTTTTAACTTTAATTGCTCCATTAATTTTCAAATAAAATTTAAAGACATTGTAAGGACACCTTGACAAATCAATTTATTTTTAATTTCAGGTGAACTGCCACTTTACTTCTATCCATTAATCTTCAAGAATTCTATATATTTAGCCTTTGATCCCATTGGTTTAGAGAAGGACCTACAAGCAAAATGTGCAAAAAACAATTGAAAATTTAAGGGGCCTTTATAAAAAACTAGTGTAGCATCTGTACCTGATCCAGGAACAAGACACTTCTTGCTACAGCCATAAGGACAACATCTGAGGATTCCTTCACAGTCTTCATCAGTGCTGCAGTCTTCTTCAGTAACTACACAGGGTGTAACTATTCCGGTCGTATCAGGACACCTGTCATCATTTCCTAAAAGATGCATTAGTACAAGTAATTTTAACAACACAACATCGAAATATGTTAGTCCATCAACAGGACTTTTTTTACACTAGTTTGAATGTCCTCAATGTTTGTCAAATCCAAAACACTTTAAAACCATTAAACCTACCACTCATGCATTCTTTACCACATCCAGCCACAAGACAACACTGCATTCCTGACTTGCAGTCCAAATCGCTTTGACACTGGTCGTAGTACTGTAAACAGTTACGTCCAAAGCTGTTTGGGTCTGGACAAGTCGAATTTCTGCAAGATTTTCATTTAAGACCACAGCTTAGGAGAAGCTGTTCTAATAAAGATCCTGCAATTCTAATTTAGGAGACATCTTGATTACAATAACCTAATTAACATCACATCCTATAAACCAAATACTGTACTGTAACATGAACCAAGCATTTTCTTCCTAGAATACCAGTAAAATGGGTCAAATCTATGGCATCTTTTCATTCTACAATTGTGAAAATTAACTCCCAACAATGGAAAAAGGTACCCATTTCAACACCACTATGCTAGTGTTGAAAACTCTAGCTATGCCTCTGGCTGGTTACCCACTGCATGGCCAACTTCACTCGTGCAGAGTAAAATTATAGAATTCCCAAAAGACTTCCATATCAATAATGGTTAATCTTTTAAAAAACTAGTTTTTCTGAAAACACTGACAAATTTGCAAGTCTTTCTACCAAGGAGAACCTGCCATTTCAAGTGCATACCAAGACATGAGAAACTGACAAGTAGTTTATTACAGTAGTAAAAATCTAATGATTTTTCAAACTAAAGCAAACCATTAGCACAAACATTACCAAGTCTACAATTCTAACTTTTGATGCAAGTAGACCTTTGAACCAATCTATTATTCAGTTCAGTATTTACATTCCTATATATTTTCCTATGCATTACATTCCTTTCCATAAGTAAAATTTGAGCTCAAGACAAGTTCCATTAGTGAAGGGGTATGGAACTTTTTTACTCACAGGCAATCCCAGACCCAGCAGCACTGTCCATCCTCAACAAGTTTACATCCATAGTGGGGCCGATTCCCTGCCGAGCAAATTTTGGTTGTATTATGGATGCTGCCGTTTGGTAGGCATGAGAATGTTGTGCAGGGATCTTCTGGGTCTTGCCAAGTTTCTCCCACATCATGCCTCACTCCAGATGCATCTATACAAAACCTATGAAGGAAGCCAGTATTACCACAATTAATAGTACAATAGGAGAAATACTTCGCATTTAAACCTCTATATACAAGACTCCAGTGCCTTATTCTTTCTAGTTTTCCTCCATTTACTGTGAAACTCTGCTCAAGCCTTGTCAATTAGGTTTGTGTAAATTTGCAAGGGATTTATACCTCTATTGGTATTCATAAAAAAGTTACCACAAAAATTATTCAAAATTTCTTCAATTAAAAATCCAGGAAACAAACTAAATACCTAGAAAAGCTAGATTTTATAAATTTCAGTTAAGTTTGGTGCCCTTCATTAATCTACCTACCCAAGAGACCATGAAAGCCATAGCCATAAGTTCCCTTCTAGAAATAGCATAGGACAAAGTTGCTATTCCCTTCAAACAAGAACTTTTAATTTATGCCAGTAAAATTATGGATGACCAATATACCTCCCAAAAGTATTGCCCATGTGAAAGTGGCCTACCTCACACAACCTACTCCACAAACAACTGGGCAGCAGTATTCCTCTTCCTTGCAGTCTTTGTCAGTCCTGCAGTCATTTTGGAACCGGAAACATTGGACATTTAACTGCTGTATTGGTGGGCATATCCCTCTGCAAGACATTACACAGGACAATTAGTCCTACTGCCTAGTACTGTACAAAGTATTCCAACTCTGTACTGATGCCAGAAACTCTTGAATATTTAGACCTAATTTTTAATATGCATCTCCCAATATTTGACATTCCCATTTACGGTGTTAAAAACTTCTACCACATTCTTGTTCCAATTTTTCAGGTCTAAAATACACTAGTCTTTTGACCATTAATCACACTTCACAAGCAGCTGTGCAATTTTAGTATTTATGGATACTTTACAATAGCTTATGGAACGTACAACTACAATTTTAACACCTACTAAAACCATCCTCCCGCCCAACTATTGGTAAATGCAATACAAAGTACTAAAATTTACAGCATGGATTTAGCAGCCCAAGCCCTTTGTGCTCTACATCCCATAGATAACCAGTTCCAAATCCTTCCCAAACTGAAGCATATTAACCCAACAGCCAAATTTGACAAGCTAAGTAGGAAGCCAATTCATTAAGTCTACTAGGAACTACCTTGGTATAATGGACACTTGCTCATTTCCATAAATTACAGTTAATCAAATTATAATCCAACTATTATCCCCAAAATTTCAAAAACTTTTGAACAAATTTCAGTACTTACGGGCATCTCCAAGTTAGGCAGCAGTCTCCATCCTTCAGTACAGGGTAACAGGTGGGATGAGGAGGGAGGTCACACTCGACAGGCAAGAACTTTATCCCATCTTCTGTACATCGTAGATGTACACAGGGGTCTTGCGGGTCTGACCACTCTTCTCCCAAATAATGCTCTTCGCCATATTCATCCACACAATTTCTGCTCCCATAAAGTCAAACTAAATTATCTCTACTCTTTAGTTAAGAATTTCGGTAATTATGGCAATTGTATTTTAACATTCAAAGAAATTTACTCTCCACATTTCGTGTAGTACTGTACCATGTAATGGAAACTAAAATTTTTTTTTGGGAATCTAGACCGAGGCAAGACATGTAAAGTAGAGCAATCCCAAGTAAAGCATCTCATTAGGAACGGCAGACTCTCCCCCCCCCCCAGTAGAAGATGGAAGACCCATGGAACCAAAATTTAAGCCTAGACCATTTTATAAATATATCTAGAAAAATTTGGTACATCCCATCTCGATATCACTCCATAGACAAGAATCAGGATGCAACTTACGGACACTTCCAGGTTGGACAACACCCAGAGTCATTGACTTGTCGACAGTGTGAACTGGGAGAATATGCAAGACATACTATTGGCTCTTTTGTGATGGTACCATTAATGCAGAAACATATCTCACAGGGGTTATATGGGTTAATCCATGTGGAACCCTCAATATGGCTGTCGCCTTTGTCATCTGTACAGGACCTGGAAGTTAATAAGCTGGCTTACTACAATTATTCAAAATAACCAACACATTTACTTAAATGTACAAGCAACCCCTTTAAATTTTTGGAAAGTTTAGCTTAAAAGACTTGGTACAGTACTTTTAATCCCACCATTACCACTTTTTAACTTGCAAGAGATCCCTTAAACCATGTTCAGTTTACCATCTCAAATTGTCCAGGGGTTTACTGCCTTAATCCCCTTTTTCCTCATTTGCCAAAACTCTTGCACTTTCTAAAGGATTAAATGGATTCTAGAATTAAAAATAACCAATGCGGACAAATTTCACCAAATCTTAAATTTAACCAGAAACCATAAGCTGTGGCCAAAGTGCTCATCACCCCCATAAAACTGAAGTAACTTACGGACAACTCCACACAGGACAGCATTCCCCGTCTTCTTTGGTCAGGACACAGTTTGGGTGTGGTGGAGGGACACGGCTACAGAATATTGGATGCGTCTCTATATTCCCCCGAGTGCATGTAAACATTATACAAGGATCCTCAGGGTCAGACCACTGGGACCCCTCCTCATGGGTTTCTCCATCTTCTACACAGGACCTGCAAGTTTATACAAACGGTTTACCATAACTATTTTGGTCTTCATTTTCAAATAAGGACTCAAAACAAAGCTAAAACAGAAGGTCTTGCATCCAAGAGGCTTCAGTAGTTTTCAAAGTTACACATTAACCTTCCTCTACACTTATGTTTCAAGAGAAGTCGAGGAGCCAGGGGACATCAGGAAAGTGGAATACACAGTAATAAACTGGAGTATTAAGAATTTTCATGACCAATTTTTAACCAGAATGGCTCCAGCAACTACCAATCCACAATACAGTAAAGTTTCAGGAGTAGTATGAAGTAACGAGACATTTTAAGAGGATATGAAGTCAATATGGATATAAAATTTTAAGTTATATTTGAAGCTGTAGCAGCGTTCGGATTTTATTGAAGATAGCAATTTTAACTTACGAGCACTGCCAAATCCAGCAGCAATTTCCATCAGAAACGAGGATGCAGGTTGGGTGGGGTGGAGCTCCTGGTCTACAGTATATAGAAATCTTGTCAATGCCATGTGACCGACAGTAAAGAGTGGTGCAGGGATCATTGGGGTCCTGCCACACTTCTCCTTCATAGTGCATCACCCCATCCTCATCCATGCATAATCTGGAAAGGAACTCATTAAAACTAGTCAAAGTAAAAATTAAGTGGTTTACATTAAATACAAAGTTAAATATTCTCATTTGGGATTTCCAATATACAAGCACAATAAATTCTAGAGAAAACCTGCCAAAGCATAGCTTAAGATCAAAGCTCTGGTTTTACAGCTTAAATCTACATTCCAATCTGTCGATACAAAACTCCAATCTCCCATATTAACATCCTAATTTTTATAGAACTTTAGGAAATAGTATAAAATAAATGTCTTATAAAATAAAGTGTACAGAATAGAAAAATTTCTGCACACTTATTTAAGCCATAAAGTTCACAAAGGATAGACTTTGCTAAGACAGACCCATTGACAAGTGAATGGCTTTACAATAGGACAGCCCTATTAAGGCATGGGTAGCTCAAGGTTTACAGAGATGTTGGACAAGTTCTTGCAATGCCAAAACTGCAATAATTTTTGGCAGTTCTCAGGAAAGACATCACAGCTGTATGCCAAGCCTCACAAGGGACATAACTGTTTGAAGGTTAAATTTGATCCTCCCAAAGAGTTACCTAAAGCATCTCTTGCCACAGTTTTCTTGGCAGCAGCGGTGATCCTCGTCACAGTCTTCATCACTGGCACAATAGTCAACACGTTTAGGACAGGAAGTCATGTTCACCTCTGGACAAGTCCTGCAATACAAGGCCAGATTACCATTAAAAGTATTCTTTTAGTATCCAAGTTACTCATCACTATAGCCAAACCCATTAAAACTGAAATAGTCATATTGAAGGCAAGAAGTTTCCCTCTAATGAAATGTTAGTTTATTGCAGTTTCATGTATAATTATTCATAAAGTCTTAAGCAACCAATATAAAAAATAAATACTATGTCAACAAGAATGTAAATAGCATTTCAACAACTACCTGTAGTATTCCATCATGCACCAGACAACCACCAAATTGGACTTACCGTATTTAGCCTTAGCAGGCATTAAACCTAGCAATTTATAGGAACATGACAGTTGTCAATTCAAGACAAAAAATTAACCATCATAGGAAATCAAGTCTGTACTAGTCCACTAATTAAGTGACCAACTTAATCCTGACCCAATGTAAACTAACAAACCTGCCACCCTCATTTAATATTTTATCTTCCCAAACCAAGATATTACAAAGGCAGCTTAAAATAAATTATAAACTTACGGGCAATTCCAAGTTTGGCAGCAAACGTCTTCCTTCTCTTCTGGGTAGCACCCTGGCTGCACTATGGGGTCAGGACAGTCCGTCACCTGAACCTGTATCCCTTCTCCAGTACACAAGTAATGCACACAAGGATCCAGAAGATCCCTCCACTCTTCTCCCAAGTAGTGGTCCACTCCATTTGTATCTTTACAACCACCACTTCCACTAGTTGGACCAATTTGTACATTATAAACCATTTGCTTTCTGTAATATTCTTTATTTTACAATTGCCAAGGAAATTTTACTCTAGGAAACTTAAACTTTTCATTATCAACAGGCAACCAATCTGGTTCTACAGACTTGCTGACAAGCCCAAGTCAATCTCTTGGGTCTAATTTGTGCATCTAAGTCTTTATGGCAAGCCAAGGCTAAAGTGAAATTTATTTATTTGACTAAATTCCTTGCAACATCAACCTGTCTAGCTTTTATTTCCTCAATTGCTGTACTGTACATTACAATTTTAAGAATTTACTAGACCAATAAATACACCATTGTTGGCATTCATAGAAGTTAAAACTAGTTATGCACCACCATCTGTCTAGAGCTAATGTTAAGATAATTCACAGGCATTTCTAGGTCTGGCAGCAGTCTTCCTCATTAACCATACATACAAGTTGAGGTAGAAGGCCAAAAGGTGGACAAATTTTCGAATTGGTCTTTATGCTCAAGTTAGTACACCTATAATGAATGCAGGAATTTCTAGGGGCTTTCCACTCTTCACCCAACTTATGGACTCCAGTTCCATATACATATGGTTTCAGTCCCCTTGTAGGAAAAGTAAACCAATTTAACTACCGACTTTTACACAAGACTCCAGATTTTGAGGGACAACTGGGTACAATAGTACATGGTCCCATCTAACCCAATTGGCTCACCATACCTGCAACAAGGTTTACAGTGGCAGAGTCATTTGGCAATCAGAACTTTACTTTTAATTATTCTACGAAATGAAAAATCAATGTTCTTAAGCAAGAAATCTATTCTAGACAGGATTAAAAAAGTTGGTCTACTCTTGGTAGTCTCAATTTTAACCTAATCATACCGAAGAGGTGTCCATGCCAGTCTTTAAAAGTCAACAAATATTAAAGGTGGCATCCTATAGTAAAGTAGCCAATGACAGGCCTATTCAGGAGGCTACATTCTAGGCCATTTAGTTTAAACTTTACAGTCATGTCACCAACATTAGAGATCCAAGGATTCCAAAAGTTGAAGGCACTAACAATTCTGGTCACCAACTTAAAAATAATACAGGTCATTATGCAAACTAAAGACCTATGTAAAGTAAGCAGTTCCTCCATTAACATTTATCAACTTAAAGGGCAAGAGAGATAACCAAGGAAAAGTAATTGGTGTAATAACTTCACTTGCAGCTCCACTTCTCACAGCAGTCTTGCACAATAATCTTACAACCAGCATTAGGTTGAAGACCCAGAGGACTAGTGTCTTTCCTGTCTATAACAAAGGATGTACACAGGGATCTCTCGGGGGTCCACCCAAGTCTCCCAGATTATGATGTACCCGGTCAGGCTCTAGTCCCTATGAATTATCAATGCTCAATAACCACCAGGTACACAAAACTTTTCATCCCAGGGCATTTGAAACCAACATTACATCACAAAGGGACTTGTTAACTGCTTTATAACAAGATTCTACAAGCAAGAATTCGTTTTATAAAAATATTAGAATTCTTTTTCCCAATGTTCAATTTAATACAAGCTTTTGAATAAGTAGATCAAAACCTTAAGTCACTAACTTCAGCCATTTACAAGCAAAAACAATTTGACCTATTCTGAACAAACTGCTTTCCAATGCTTGCTACTTTCAAGTCTCGAGGCAAATGGTAAAATGCCATCTTCCTGCATACAAAGTTGAACCATAACCACTCACACTACCACTTAATTACAGAATGAAATTAGACCACTCTTGTGGACTTCGATATCCATACTGTAAAAGTCATTTAAAACAGAAGAACCCATTACCAACAGGCTTAGGGATGCAATAGATCTAGATTAAATAATTCAGCAACAGGCCATCCTGCCTCATACCAAAGGCTTCATATACAGTAGGTTACCCACATCTCTATGGGCAGTCATGCCTATGGGACCCACTTTCACTTGCCACAGTCCCACTTCTGGCAGCAGTCTTCAATGACAATCTTGCAGCCAGCATAGGTCGAGGACCAGGAGATGGACAGTCTTTCTTGGACTTAACAATACCAGAGTATGTACACAGGCAGGTCATACAGGGACTGGGTCCACCCAAGTATCTCCCACATTATGATGCACACCATTCTGATCCTTACAGTCCCTGAAAATAATTCTTCAAGAACTAAAGATTTAATCTGGTATTGCAAACAGCTGCCAGACATGAAGATTAATTTACAATTCTTTTTAAACCATTACCACTTGCCACAGTCCCACCCTGACAGCAGTCTTCAACGACAATCTCACAACCAGCATTAGGTCGAGACCAGGAGATACAAAGTCTTTCTTGGACTTGACAATACCAGAGTATGCAATAACAGGTAGGTCATACAGTATCTCTTGGGTCCACCCAAGCATTCCCCACATTATGATGCACACCATTCTGATCCTTACAGTCCCTGAGAAATTATTATTCATTAAGAACTAGTCAAGTTAATTTGTATTGCCGTCAGTCCCTACCATTTACTTATTCAAATATCTATTATCCAACAACAGGATACACAAATACAAAACCATTTGATACATCCAATTGGTCAGCATTGAGAGAATATATAAATATCTATACCCTGTATTGACATGCCTAAACCCCAATATTCACAATACTAACTTTAGTACAAAAACTAAGTAAAAATTACTATCACTATAGTAGCTCCTTTAAGTGGCTTGCCAAGGGCATACTTTAATTTCTAGTTTAAGTAATCTAGAATTTATTAGTTAATTACTTTTACCTAATGTTTAATTCAACATCAGCTGAAAGAACGCTTTCAGAACATTTGGTAGGATGGCTTCCCTACTACCTACCAACAAGCCCTGTAGAACAAAAATAGTTCAAGCTTAATAGCAGAAAACTGTCCAAAGTTGGGTTAAAAATACCAATTGTCTAGCATCATCCCACACACCAACCATCCCTAACCTTTTAAAATTCATGATGTAGTCAGGTCAAAGATTTCAACACTTAGACATGTCTGGCATCCACCAGTATACACTATTGTGATCTGCCAATAGCATTAGTCATATCACATTATGCCTAAACCACAGCATGGGTTTAAGACTTCCCTCCATACCTAAGAACTTCAGATACTTGATAGCTTGGCACTGTCAAGGACTTAAACCCCACCAGATGGTCGTCTATAGCCTTACTAGCTCTCACATTATCCAGTAGATAAATCCAATCTTCTGGAAACCACCTTATTTAGATTACATTATTTATCAACCATTACTCACTTGCCACAGTCCTCACGTCTGGCAGCAGTCTTCAACGACAATCTTTGTAGCCAGCATTAGGTCGAGGACCAGAGATGGACAGTCTTTTCTGGACTTAACAATAATGAGTATGTACACAGGCAGGTCATACAGGGATCTCTTTGGTCCACCCGCTATCTCCCACATTATGATGCACACCATTCTTGATTCCCGCAGTCCCTGCACACCCTTCACCAAGAACTAAAAGATTTAATCTGGTATTGCAAACAGCTGCCAGACATGAAGATTACTTACAATTTTTTAAACCATTACTCACTCTAAGCACAGTCCCACTTCTTGACAGCAGTCTTCAAATCTAATAACCACAACTGTTACTAGGCTCGAGGACCGTGAGATGGACAGTCTTTTCTTGACTTGACAATACCAGAGTATGTACACAGTAAGTAGGTCATGTTAGGGATCTCTTGGGTCCACCCAAGTATCTCCCACATTATGATGCACACCATTCTGATCCCAGTCCCTGAGAAATTATTATTATTCATTAAGAACTAGTCAAGTTAATTTGTATTGCAACAGCCAAGTCAGTCCCTACCATTTACTTATTCAAATATCTATTATCCAAATGTAACAGGATACACAAACATAAAACCATTTGATACATCCAATTAGTCGCATTGAGAGAATATATAAATATCTATACCCTGTATTGACATGCCTAACCCAATATTCACAATACTAACTTTTAGTACAAAAACTAAGTAAAAATTACTATCAATTATATAGCTCCTTTAAGTGGTTTGCCATGGGCATACTTTTTAATTTCTCTAGTTTAAGTAATCTAGAATTTATTAGCACTACTTTTACCTAATGTTTAATTCTAACATCAGCTTGAAAGAACGCTTTCAGAACATTTAGGCAGTATCTTACTACCACCACAGTTTTCCTGTAGAACAAAAATAGTTCAAGCATTAGCAGAAAACGTCCAAAGTTAGTTAAAAAATACCCAATTGTCTAGCATCATCCCAAGCACCAACCATCCCTAACCTTTAAAATTCATGATGTAGTCAGGTCAAAGGATTTCACAGACATGTCTGGCATCCACTAGTATACACTATTGTGATCTGCCAATAGCATTAGTCATATCACATTATGCCTAAACCACAGCATGGGTTTACCTTCCCATAACCAAGAACTTCAGATACTTGATAGGCCAAGTACTGTCAAGGACTTAAAACCCCACTGTAGATGGTCGTCTATAGCCTTACTAGCTTCTAGCAATGTCTTGATAAACTTCAATCTTCTTGGAAACCACCTTTCTTAGACATTACATTATTTATCAACTACATTACCTACTCCCCACACAGTCCACGTCTGGCAAGTTAGTCTTCAACCCACAATCTTGCAGCCAGCATTAGGTCGAGGACCAGGAGATAATAGCCTCTTTACCTTAACAATACCTGTAGAGTATGTACACAGGCAGGTCATACAGGGACTTCTTGGTCCACCCAAGTATCTCCTACATTATGATGCACACCATTCTGATCCTTACAGTCCCTGAAAATAATTCTTCATCAAGAACTAAAGATTTAATCTGGTATTGCAACAGCTAAGCCAGACACATGAAGATTAATTCTACAATTTTTTAAACCATTACTCACTTGCCACAGTCCCACTCTTTTGACAGCAGCTCCCAAATCTAATAATCTCTACAAACTTTGGAAGCATTAGGCTCAGGAGGACCAGGAGATGGACAGTCTT